ACCTGAAAGCTCTTTCACTGACTGTTCTGGCAATTTCAACTCAGAACTTCAAAATAAGCGTTAGTTATTGGTTGTTTTGAGATGGCAGGACACTAAATTACAGGATACAACATGGAGAACGGCAGGCTAAGAAACCTTAAGATAGGTATGTGTACAAAGCTACTTTGCACCTGACTTTGCACCAACTCACAAAGATGATACTAGCTGATAGTGATGAAAACTTATATTACTATTGCTTTCCCAAATCCCTATTGCTGCATCCAATATTTGATTTGATCAAAGAACATGTTCCAAATGTCAGTGGAAAGTCCCTTTTGAGTTAACAGCTGATTTATGGGGCTCTTTTGATGTCAGACTGTAGTGATAACCAAGAAATGCTCTCTTCTCAAAGTTTGTGTAATAAACAAATACATTAAGGACATATTTCAGACAAACAGCCGATCAGTGTGTGTACATTTTCTGATGTTATGTGCAGTTTTGTTCACATGTAGGACCCTGTTTTCTCTGAAATGGCATTACACAATTTATTACAGACTTTGGCAAAAATTCGATCTTGATAAAATATGTCTGTACTCATGGAAAGCTTTTTTTGGGGCTATTGGACCTGTTATTAGACACTAAATGGAATTCTAGCATAATAAGACTGATTAAAAGGGATGACTGAAAAGCAAATGCACTGGTTGTAATACTCAAAGTTTGTGTTTAAGAAAAACACGTGAAATAATAAAGCTCATCATGTAAGCACAATCTTGTTTTGTTGTATTTTTCCAGGAAGATGAAAGTTGCACTGACTAACAAAGCAAGTGTTTAGTATGTTTGTGCCTCATTGTCTGTTATGTAAAACAATCGGTTAAGAGTCAGTAACATAAACTTTTTTGTTATGTCCCCGTTTGGAAGCTGAAAATATTTCACCCCTCTTCAATGCATAAAGTAATTGCATTTGTATTAGCCTGTAACAATGTTCGGGGAAATAGTAAATGAGCCAGTGCGTTAAAATACAAGTTAAACTTTGCCCAAACTTGAGCATTGTGCCTAAATACACATGGTTGTCCTACTACATTGTGAGTGACATCTATTTGTATTTGACTCATATTTTTGAGCATCACTGCTTTTTTTCTTTTCTTTCCTGCTACATGTCTTATCTAACTTGTACTTTTATCTCTCTGACTCACATCAGAGCATCTTAGTTTTCTCTATCATTCCCAAGAGAATAAGATTTATCGACCTTTTTCACAGCAAGCATTGTGACTTGTCATGGCAACTTAATGATGGTCAAAACGTCAGCTGTTAAAAGATCCTGCTGTTTCACTCCAGGTTATTTACCCTGTACATTTAGTTAAAAGAAATCAGCATTACATCTTCAATAGATCTGTGTGATGATGAATGAAAAATCAAGGTTGCAGAGAATTTAATAAATCTCATCCTGAATCTAGCGGTTTGCAGAGCAATCATCCCAGGTGTGTTAGTATATAAATAGTGCTTTTATATTGGATTGATTTTCTTAAAAACAAGATTATAAAAAATCTTTTCTGTATAAAATAAAAGCGCTGTCATTTACACAGTATTTATTAATCCTGGTTTATGGCAATGTTGCCCTCTTGTGGCGGCTTACAATGTAAAAATATGGAATATCGAGGTTGGTAGACAATATTCAGATGTTAAGTCACAGCACTTGAGTCTTTTTACTCATAAATCAAGTGACAATATTACAAATACACATTGTAGTACCCCAGCATTACATTTGTTTTGTAAGTAAAACTGCAGTAAAACCAATTTAAATTTTGTTATTGCAATATGAAAACAATTTCTTCTCTTTCTGTGTTAAACAAATCCCAGCAGCGACAAAGCCTAACATGCTACAATAGCAGGCAGAGATATTTTTAGCCCCCATTCAACACATGATTGTTCTCTCTGCTTCACAGCTCATCACATTATAATCACTGATGTGATCGAGGGCTCAAGGAAAGCCTCGGGTGAAGTTATCAGCTTATCCTCAGAGAAGAAGAATCCGGCTGGTCAGATTATTCGAAAGGAATTCATTCAGTCAACGTGATGAGTTTCATGTGGTGAATAGATGGCAGTTTTTTTTTCGTTCAGCCCATTCTCCTTTGATTAAAGAATAAAAACATGTTATCTAACTTTCTCCAGCCTCATTTTGCTTCACATACATGCAGTTCTACAAATTCCCATTTGGGAGATGCTCAACTCATCAGAGGTACAGTATTTTGATGGTAACACTTCTTTGCTTTTATTTTCCGCTGCTGTTATTAAAGCTGCTATGGGTAGGATTTTACTTTTGTGCCATGCAGGACAAGTTTCAAAATTGACACCTTTTGAACTGGATTGTCTCATTTCTCTTCAAACTACAACTTACATCATCAGAATTTTATAAATAAAAACATGATATAATCACATGTAAGTTCTTTACAGAATACATTTAAAGCTGTGTAATCAATGTTTTGATATTAACAATGGGTCAACTTTACATTTATTCATTTAGCTGACGCTTTTATCCAAAGCAACTTACAATTGCTATACATGTCAGAGGTCGCACGCCTCTGAAGCAACGAGAGGTTAAGTGTCTTGCTCATGGACACACTGTTGGGGGATTGAACCCAAATCTCTCACACCAAAGGCAGGCATCTTAGCCATTGCGCCATCACCACCCTGACTAATCTGAAACGAGGTTGCTTGTAGTGATGAATCCACAGCTAATTGTCATGAGACTGCAGTTCTCCTCAGCTCTACAGAGCTTTCTAGTGTCTTTCAGCTCATTGGTTTAGTTTTTAACCCACAACTTCACTGTTTTGGTTTATTCTCTCTGTTCTCATCAGCACCAGATGCAATGCAAATGAAGCAAGCAGCTGCTTTCAGTGAAAACAAACTGATATACACACTGTTTGATTCAGTCAGATCTACATGGGCCCCTTAACTGGCTGATGATAATGATGAATATGTTCAGTCTGTTTGTCCTTGCTCTCTCTTTTTGAACAGCTGACTCCACTTTTGACATGAAATGGAAAAACAAATGCATAAAATGGAGCCCTATTTTCTGTGTCATACAGTTTAAAAATAACTCTTCTTTGACTGCAATTTTAACGGGATAGTGCTGGATGGGTATTGTGATTTTCTACAGGAGCATTTCTCAAAGAGTGCTACCCTTTACGAAGCCATTTAGACTTGACCATTTAACTTGAGCTTTCATCTGAACTGTTGGATTTGCAGCTCTTCCTTAGATTGTGGTTAAAGTTTAGGTTTGGCAATGAAAGTATTTGGAGGAGGTCAATGTGTAAGTTTGTGTATATCTTTTGCATTAAAGTGTATTCAATTTACCACAGAACAGATCTGTAACTAGGTAATGGGATGCTAACAGGCCTAATAAATGGGAAAGCTGTCCCAGTGGGAGGGAGTAATGCTGCACCCTGAGGGATTTCAGTCACGGCTGCTGTCTGGTCAATTAAATGTTTAGCTAACACAGAAGGCTAATGTCACACAACACAAAGATGTTATGATTGAACTGACTACAAATCTTTGAGCATCTGTCCTCTCTGGTAGGATCGAGGATCTTCACATCCACAGTCATCATTAGTGTCTGCTGAGTTTTAACTTAATTTATCCCATCTTTGTTTGGTATATGCTAGTTATGCCACTGTGCTCATCTGGCTCAGACTGACAGGCAGAACAAATACGGATCATCAGGCAGTCACAATAAATTACCATTATCAGCATCACCATCACTGCTGACATGATGATCGACAATCGTGGCCTTTGTGTTCCCTGTATAACCCTAAGGATAGCTAAGAATAAAAGACATTTCCTTTACTAACTGAAATTAATTGAGCTTCCTTTCTTTTTTTTATTGCTGAATTTCTGGCCAGAAGAGTCACACGTAGATACCGATATAGATTAGGCTATGAGATTTGTAAACAGATTTGCCTTACTTGATTTCAGTTTTATGATACTTTATCCTTCTACTCTATCACATTTCAGAAGGCAAAAGTAAATTTTGAGCATGTATACACTGCATTTGATTGATTTTTTTTTTTTTTAAGTACAAGATATTGCAATTATTCTTCTTCAAATTCTGTATTTTTTTTAAAGAAAGAAAGAAACTTAGGAACATAAAACTAAGTACATAAGCTATATCACGATTTTGTTTAATGTTCATTGTACATCTTTCTTTGACTAGTTTGTATTTTGAATCACCATTGCTCTTCTCGCCTCCATTTGACAGTATTTTTCTTCTCTATATGGTTTGCCACACAAACGTATTTACAAACAGATAATTGAGGAGTTTTATGTTATATAGTTGGTATTTCCATTTCTTTTTGGGAGATTTTTTTTGGGTTTAGCATTTTGGCTGGACTATACATTCTAAAATTATTTATTTTATAATAGTATTTTAAAAGATGATTCTCCAACTTTAAGACCTGATAGGCCTTTATGTTTAAAGTAAAATTCCTGGCAGTGTGGAGACTTTAAAGACAGCATATACCTTAATTTTCTCAACATACGCTACAGAAACCACCTGACTGACAGAATCTATTTTGATTCTGTTTTGACTATATTCAATTGTACATAATTGTTATTAATTGTAAATAGTGTGTATACAGTGTGTATTTACACATCTACATAGATTGTTAATTGTATGTTGATTGTCTATAGTGTGTATACAGCCTGTATTTATACAGAATGTTAAGCTGATTCTACTTTTGTTGTATTTTGCTCTTTTTTGATTCCCTCTGTGCTGCTGTGCCAATTTTTATTTCCCCTATGGGATATTAATAAAGGAATATCTTATCTAGGCTATGTGGAAAATAACAGCAGTTAACTGAGTAACTAAAGTATTTAATATATAAAGTATTTAACAGGGGCTATAAAATATAGAGTGTGGCAGTGTCTACAAATAACAGTCAGGGAGATCTGCATGTTTCAGAGTCTGTGAATAAATTGACCCGATCAATCAACTCAAATCACAAGCATCACAATCTCCGCCCCTCTTTGCGCCTGCGCAAAGCCTCGTAGGGAGCTGTCCGTGTCAGTAGGTGCTGGAGTGTTTTCACTGAAGCCGATTCTCCCCCCGGTCCACCGAAACAGACGGGAGCGATGGAAGAAGAGTTAAAATGTCCCGTTTGCGGTTCTCTCTTCAAGGATCCCATCCTGCTGCCCTGCTCCCACAATGTCTGCCTGGCGTGTGCTCGGAACATCACCGTGCAGACCCCGGACGGGGAGACCCCGGTGCAGAACCGAGCTTCGGGCAGCTCTGACTACGACTACCTGGACATGGACAAGATGAGTCTGTACAGCGAGACGGACAGCGGGTACGGTTCGTACACGCCGTGCCAGCTCAAGTCTCCAAACGGGGTGCGGGTGTTTCCGCCGGCCAACCCCCACCGACACTGCTCGCTCACTTGCCCGCTGTGTCACCGGAGCGTCTCCCTGGATGAGCGGGGGCTTCGGGGTTTCCCTCGGAACCGGCTGCTGGAGGCCATCGTGGCGCGGTACCAGCAGAACCGCGCCGCCTCCTCCTCTTCTTCTTCTACCGCGGTAAAATGCCAGCTGTGCGACCGCAACCCGGTGGACGCGGCGGTGATGTGCGAGCAGTGCGATGTCTTCTACTGTAACGCCTGCCAGCAGCGGTGCCACCCGTCTCGCGGTCCGCTCGCCAAGCACCGCCTGGTGCCGCCGCGGACCCAAGCGACAGGAGGTGGCGCGGCAAGCGGAGGAGGGAGCGGCGGTCAGCAGCCGCCCGCCACTGCGCGGAAACCGGCGACCTGCGTGGATCACGAGGCGGAAAACTTCAACATGTACTGCTACAGCTGCAAGACTCCGGTGTGTATGAAGTGTCTGGAGGAGGGAAAACACGCCAAGCACGACATCAAACCGCTGGCCGTGATGTGGAAACAACACAAGGTGAGCGAACACGCGCGCACCCACAGTTTTATGTTCACAGGATACACTGAGCCTGAATGCCTTTAAGCAAACATTATTTATTTATTATATCAACAATTAGGATATTGTTCTACTGTTAAGTCCTAATGAGATGTATGGCTCACACACACTACAGTCTCTTTCTCTCTCTCTCTCACTCACTCACTCACTCACTCACTCACTCACATGCATGTGTGACCCCCCCCCCCCCCCCCCATGTTTTTAAGCAGAAATACTCACCCACACACTCAACAGCAGTGTTTATTACCAGATGTACTAATATCACCTTACATGGTGTCAAACCAAAGCCTTTCTCATCTCATAGCATTCTTCTGTCATATTCGTGCTGGTTATTTGCTGGTAAATGTTTGCTAACTGCTTTGTGATGTTGCAAGTGAATTTGTACTAAACGGAGAGGATGCTACAGTCTGAGGTCAAATGTTAGTCACAGAAAAGTGAAAAAACATTGCAATCCTCTGTTGAGTTTAATGTATGTGGAACCCTGATTGATTGTCACAATATTACAATAATAACTGTAGGCATTAAACCCTGGACTGTGTGCATGAGTCATTATTTGAATAGGTCACATGGCACCTCGGTATTTCATGTGTACTGGCCTACATATGTATGTAATGGGTGATGTGAGCAGTGACTGTAGTGTGGGAGGAGGGGTTAGTTGTAGTTCCTCAGGCAGGATCAGGACGGGGTGGGATAATAATTAAAACTAAGCTTTTATTTAAGTTTGAAGAAATATGGTTATTAGTATCAGTATTCATTCATTATCAGTAATGGAAAATAAATTCATGTACTCAAAGTACTGCATTTTTGAGGAACTTGAGTATTTCCATTTTATGTTTTTTATACTTAATTATTCATAGCTATAGTTACTAGTTACTTCTCAGATCAAGATTTATATGTAAAACACACACACACACATATATATATATAATTTGTACTTTTCCTTGTGATACTTTAAGTATATTTTGCTGCTAATACTTCTGTTTTTGAATGCAGGATTTGTACTTGTAATGGATTTTCTTTTATCCTTGTGGCACTGATACTTTTATTAAGTAAAAAAAAAAAAGTATTTCCAACACTGCAATTTATCTCGCTTATAGAAGCCAAAATATTTCGTAGCACAGTTGAGAACTGGTACTCTCCCTCTAGCTGTTGAGGCTGGCAGGAGATAAACCGACTGAGCTGTGTGATTTGGGACAAGTGGAAAAGTCCCATTTTCTTCTGTATTTTATGTACTATGATGATTTAAAAGAGTAAATTTTCCAAAATGTCTAGACAAAACTTTAATATGTTAAAAAAATGTAAGGGCTGTTTAACTGTGTGTTTAAGTTTGCTAGCTTTACCTCAAAAGCCTGGAAAAGAAGGCAAGAGGAACGATTTAGTTTGTATTTATTATTATTATTATTATAATATATTGTTGTAAAAGGTCGGAAAACCTGACGGTAAACAGTATTCAAATTGGTTTGATTATTATTGTTTGAAAATGTACATGCAGTAGCCTAATCTGGATCTGGCTTATATTAATTTAGAGTTGCATTCATGACACAAAAATTAAAATCACTTACTGTAAAGCCTGTGACAAGATTTGGCAAAAACCTTCCATAACACAGTGTTTTGCCATCTAAGCCCATCCCTCCCCCACTCTCCCCCCTGCATGCCAAAAATCACCCGCCTGCTTCATTAAAGGATGATTAAAGTGATTTATGATTTCATTCATTTTTTTAATGACTCTTTCATTAATTTAACTGTCTGCTGTTGGGGTCAACTCCAGTTCATGTCTCTCAGGTTACAGTGTGACCCCACTGAACTGTTAACATTTTTATTCTGATGTAAGCCCAGATTAGATTGCACAGTGGGTGATTTGTGCAGCATTTTAACAGTATTTTAATTTTTAACAATACAATTTCCTTATTTATTATGAGATTATGGTTATTAAAGTCCCCAGGGCGGGACTCCAAAGTGTTCAAAGGAATATTAATACCACTAGAGCTAATATTTAAGAGGCTGCTGTTTGATTTTGTACAGGTTCATTCTTTTATCAGACGACTTCATGTGTTTACCAGGAAGGCGATCATTATCATGATCGTCAGACTTTTGTAAATCAAAAGCCATTTTGTCTGTCTCCTGCTAAGTGGGACACTGGGACTAATCTTTCTGCCTGTCTGTCTTTTTTTTTGTGTGTGATTCGAAGCCTCCAGTCTTTCCATTCATCATTTTTCTTCAGCTTCTTTCTGTCTTATGCTCATCATTCACCTTCTCCACATGTCTGCATCCCTTCTTCTCTTCATCTCTGTCTCTTATTTACACTCTCCTCCCCCTCATTTACCCTAATTTACTCCCGCCCTTCCTCCATCCTTCCCTCTATCACCCTGTCCCATAAATGGACCGTGAAAATCCCATCAGCGTGCAGGAGTGAGAGGGCGTTGATAAGTAATGAGCAGTGTATGAATAAGGGATAGCTGCCACTTAGTTAATACGGTGTCCTTCACGTTGAGGGAGATCGATAACAGAGTCTGACGCCGAACGGACACTTGGACAGGCTCCCAGCACCAAGTGCATCTAAATGCTTCTCCTTCTGTGCGCCCAAAGGATTTTTCTCAGGAATGACCAGATTAAACGTCTTGTGAAACCTTGAACAGGCTGAATACTGATTCCATTGATTGATTTTTTCAGTGCAGAGCCTGTATGAGCTTACAGGACACTGGAAAACAACAACCCACAACACATAACAAATAATGACGTACAGCTCCATACACCAAAAATGAAACCCTTTCAAAAGCAACATTACTTTGGCCAACAGAAGGAATGCCAGTACGAAACAATACAATGAAGCTAATATCGGTGGATGATATTAATCGAACTCTGGACTTCTGAAATTTCCAACTATAAGGATTCAGGTGCCATGTTCTTTTCATACATGTTCTTTCTATAAATGTTGCCAGAACCAAAATACCTTTGGACAAATTTTAACTGATTTTTTTTCAGTAGGCTGGTAAACTGGTAAGCTGGTAAGCTGGTACGGTCACTGTGTATGGTCCACCTTTTGTCAACCAAAAACCACACAAACACTGTGTACCAGGAATACATTTATCTACCTGGCGTACAAGACCAGTTCTTAACTTAGTGCTCAAGAACCTTTGTCTTCTCTCTCAATAATATTTAATACATGGTTTTGTGGAGTAACCCTACTTGATCTCTATCTGGATATACTTGCTTTGCTTTGGCTACTTTCAGATATACATTTTTAATAATTTATTATATTCGTATTACACTGGACAATGTTCTTGATCAAAACATGAGAGTAATTTAGTAAGTTAAACCAGTTAATTACATCTTCAGGTAGGATGTTTGGATTGTTTAAATTCTCTCACTTTTAAGCACTTTTAAATCAATGATTATTTTAAGGATTTTAAGACCTGCAGGCCTCTGCAGCTCAAGGGAAATGTTCACGCACTGTCTGTTGTGTGTTTGCTCGGTGTTCATGTTGTTGGCTTGAAAATGTCATCCCGTGGATGTGAATAATATTTTTTTATTTACTATGGGCTGCTAGTGCATACATGATGTTGTACTGATGAATGACTGCTGTGTGTTGGGGGCATTTTACTGTGTGTTTAGTGGATTGTAGACTGAGAATAACATTATGTCTCATGTGGTTTACCATTACACACTGCAACAACAAGCATGGCTGGAGAAGACAGATCCAGAAAGGGAAGTGACTTCAGTAGTGTGGAAGTGGTTGGTTACCAAAGATCAGACGTAAAACAAACCATGTAATATACTGTAAGTAGTGCTAGAAGACTGTAACAACAAATGGGCTCAATACAACAAACTTATTATTCAGTATTTTGTCATATTTTCAAGAGTTATTGTAGAAATACCCTTAAATATTGTGATATAATTGTAGGACCATATTGCCCACCACTATTCTGAGCACATGTGTGTGTACAGTATGTGCATGTTTTTTTATGCTTTACAAGTCCTGTATCTAAAATATCAAGGAAAGGCATTTAGATCATCATTGTTGTAAATCAAACAGCCTGGGGTTGACTGTCCCACTGCTACACACTCAGAGGGACATACACACACTCACACACATATACATCCACACACACACACACTCAGAAGGCATAAATATGCATAAGTGAAGCAGATGAACTTCCGCTGTGGGAATGCAGAGGAAGACACACTGATCCAGTTCTCCCTGATCAGTCAAGCATAAAACACACTGTCTATTTATATTTAAAGCACACACACAAACACACACACACACACACACACACACACACACACACACACACACACACATGTGTGACTTATCTCAGTCCAGTTAAGAGCAGCTAGCTGTGGCACTGCTCTGAGTTAAATATTAAAAACCACAAATGCAGAGTTGCTAGTTCTCGTGCTGTGTGTGTTTCAGTGTTTGCACCGTCATGATTTTAGATTTCAGATTTGGCTTTTATCATATTAACATATATGCCTAAGTATTTCTGGTGGACAGTAGCAATGGTATTTGTGAACTGAAGCTGATAATTAAAGTTTTGTGCTATTACCATGTGAAAAAAAGTGTTTCTTGGAAAGGTAATTCTTGTTATGTTAGAACTGTTGTATATACCAAGACAGACAGACTCATTATCCTGCAGAGTGGCTCTAAAGTTAAACCATAAGATGTGTACCTGCATCTCTTACCTACCTCCTCTCTCTATATATTTTTTCACCATTTACGTCATTTTGCACGCAGCTTTTGGTTCAAGGGTCTCTCGCTCCACAACCCTATCTTTTAGAAATTACATTTATATACTCAATTTAAACAGCAAACTTTTGGGGAAATTTAAGTTAAAATGTTGCACATATTGGTAAAATGTAAACATTGTAATTTGCTACAAGATTATGCAAAGGTGGTCTGGGTTAAACATTTGGTGTTTCCTTTATTGTAAGTTAAATGAAACCACAATCTTTCCTTAACC